TATAGACATAACTTATGCAAGCCATGTTTTGAGAAAATTTGCATTAGTGAACATAATTTACAAATTAGATTTTGCAAACCACGTTTTGGGAGAATTTATACAATATAAACATAACTCACAAATTATATTTTGCAAGCATGCTTTGAGATAATTTACACAAGTAAACATAACTTGCAAATTAGATTTTGCAAGCTATGTTTTTAGAAAATTTATACAATACAAACAAAAGAATTAGTGGCCATGCCGATGGTATTCGGTGACTATTTTTATCGCCTTCGACCAAGACCAAGAAAAATATTTTACAAGCAAAATTGAAACTTAGAGGGCACCAAAAAAAAAGTAGTAATTATCAAAGCACATAATTGTAACCTATATTAAGCAGAAAATGAGAAGAACGATATTGTGGACGAGTGTGTATAAGGGGATGGAGTTTAAATAGTAGTCCTAACACGTTTACTTTAAATCAATCAATAAATACATAATCAATAATTTGTATACTTTCCTATTTATTTAAAATCAAATATATATGGAAAAAGCGTCCGCATTCAATCATAATATCATCCACTAATCATTTTGAAATTGGTTATAAAAAATCCTCCAAATCGCTGAAATCTAAGTATAAATGAGCGACAATTCGTGATACTTTCTTAATTTATTTAAGCCAAATAACTATGGATGAAACTTCCACATTCAAGCATAATTATCATTTTCTAATTATTTTCTAATCATTTCAAATGAAACTTCTATGTTTTGGTCAAATCATTCAATAAATGATCACTAATTTGCGATTATTTCCTTAAATAATCAAATTCATCCATACATTGTGATTGTTTCTGTAGATTATGTTTAACAATGAATGCACCAAATATTTGTATACTAAAAATTTTTGGCGGGAAATGGGTTACCAGAAGTTTGACACGTGTACTTTTTTTTTTCACAAACTTGTTTTGCTTTAATATAATATATAAATTTTAAAAACTTACAGTTACGTTAGTTCATTTACAACTTATCCTTGTATCTAATATAATTATCAGGTTACCAATTAATTTAAGATTTATTTCAATACTTCTCATCCCATGATAATATTTGTGTTGCCAATTTTTAATTGGTTAGTCTTTAATGAAACGGTTTAGTCAGTAATGAACAACTGGACCATGGAATTTTCCTATATATATTATAAAAGTTATATACTTTTAAATGTGCATGAATAAACAAAACTTCAATTCTCATGGCCCATCTTTTATTCTATTTTTTTACCCTTTTTGCTCTCAAAAGCCCAAACGTCACCCCTTTTTACTTTTTTTGTTGCTTCCAAAATTTCAAACGTTGTTGAATCTTCTGCCCTATTATTTTTATTTATTTTTGTTGGTGCTCATCAAATATCACCCCTAAGAACCTAATCGAATCCCTTTTAATGTAATTTTTTCCCCTCTTAAATTACAAAACAACGAGTAAACTAAGAACCCTAACAACGCTGATGCAAAGTAGTGAACCCAAGCTGACTCCCTTTATCTTTTGTGCCGCTATACTAATTTGGAATTCAGTAGCTGATGCGGTGGCCGAAGCATAATTTTTCTTTGGCCTTTTATGCATGATTCAATCTCTTTTCAAGCTACTCAATCTTATGTTCTTTTTGTTTGTTTTGTTTTAAGGATTTTTTTTTATATAGAATTTGAAGTTTCATTTTCTCTTTCCCACTTTTTAGTTAGCATTTTGGATGTTGTTTGGTTTTAATTAGAAATTTGTAATTGGTAGTAAAAGGTCATATTCTTTAGGTTGTAACTTAAAAAAAAAACTCTACTTTTTTTTGCCCAAAAACAAAGGCAAAGTTTGGGCCCAAAAAAACCCCAAAGTGAAACAAAAATCATAAAGCCGAAGAAATCAGACCGCATTACGTGTTAATTTGATCGGATTTCCAAATACAAACCGGTTTGTGTCACGAATTGACTAGATTGAGGATCAAACCAAACTATTGGGATGAGAATCAAAGATATGGTGTTCCGGAATTAGAAGAACAGAAAAAGGGATTAAGGTTAGACGAGAGAGAAGATACAAGAAAGAGATATTTCCCAAACTGTGGTTTTTTAAAAATATCCAAAGATGATGTCCTTGACTCAACCTATATAGTTTGACTCGACTTCGACTAATTACACTTTGACCCTAAACTATCAATTAAATTCAATTAGACCCCTTGGGATATGGCAGTTTGTCTTTGGGTCTGATTTTCAAAACATGGGGTAATGGTCTCTCTATTTCACATACGACAAAACGCACTTTTCGTCTCCCAGGTTTTGGAGATAGCAAGATCGAGTCACTATCAATTTTTCAATTGGCAAAAATAGTCTCCTAAAATGTTTTTGTTATCAATTTTAGTCAATTTAATAGAATTTTTAAAGACTTAATAGTCAAATATTTAATTTTTTATTAATTTCTTTATGAATGGTGGGATCCACTAATTTTGACCCAACAAAAAAATTATTTTTCTTTTATATTTCTTTTTATTAAGATTTAATGTTATTAATCAAAAATTTTTTTAAAAAAATCAAAAATAAAAAAAAAATCAACAATAGCGGTTCACCACCCTCGCCGCCGCCACCAGCTCCCCCACTTCCTCCGCCGCCGCCACCACCACCTCATTCGGGATCAATATCACATTCCCCTCACAGGTTAGATTAGCACCACCGCCGCCAATCAAAACAAGTTTGTGAATTATGCAGAAGAAACCTTTTCTTTTATTTAAATATGTTTAGAGTGAAATGGTGACATTCACCACTTTCATTTTTTAGCAGTACTACAGCTCTCCCTCCATCTTTCTTCCCTAAAATTACCCCCTTCCCACTCTTCGGTGCGAATGGGCAAGTTCCACCTCCAAAAGGGATCGGTGGGATCTGGGGTTGCTGGGTGCCATTCCTCCCTTGGTGGCTCTCCTTGACGCCCCACCACCTTCCTCCGATTTCGTAGTTCTCGGAATCTTGCTGCCAACATAGAAATCTCGGAATCATTGCCCTCATGAAATTACCGGAAGACAAACATGCATTAACAAGGCATTAAAGATAGAAGACGTTGTCTTGATTCCCTGGGCTTCCATGGATGAAAATACACCTAATGCAATTTCAAATTTTTTTAATTTTCCACAAAGCAAGAGTAACCTAGTACAGGCAGATTGATTCTTCTCATTTTCTTTAATAAGCTTTTCTAATTTCCATTCAATAACCTTAATTAAATAAAAAATTGCATCCATTTCAGCAAAAATCCCCCAACATATTCAAACTCCATTTGTAACTAGGGAAGAAGCAAAACTGGGCGACGAGGCAACGTGTTGTGGCGGGCCAAATAAAGCAGGGGAAGTTGAGAACGAATTAGAGCTTGATTCATGGTTTTCAATGCCATATCAAACTCCAATCTGCAAGATAACTTTTAAAAATCAAGGGGGGAAAAAAATCAATTTTAGGGAAAAGAAAGCAGTTTAAGGGGAGGCAAAAAGGAAGAAGGATCGGAGTAGAGTGGTGGACGGCCGCGGCGAGGGCCGAGGAGGTATAGCTCGTTTGGGGAAAAAGTTTCGAGTTCAATTGAAATAGTCGAATAACCCGAATTATTTGGCTAATTCGGTTTAACAATTTGATCAGTGTCGTCTGAATCCTAAAGTCTAAAGAGACTCCATATTTAATAATATTTTTTTTATTTTTTAATACATTAAATCTTAATAAAAAGAAATTAAAAAAAAAGATGTTTTCTGTTGGGTCAAAAGTAGTGGACTCCATCATTCATAAGGAAATTAATAAAAAATTAAATATTTAACGGAAATAAAAGTTTGACCATTAAATCTTTAAAAATTTTGTTAAATTGACTAAAATTAATGATAAAAATATTTTAAAGAAACTATTTTCACCAATTGAAAATATAAAGTGACTCGATCTTGCTACCTCAAAACATGGGGGACGAATAATGCGTTTTGTCATTTCATATATTTTCTTGAAGTGACGCTTATGCTGACTCCACCGGCGTAAAATAGCAATTACCCTCATCCAAAAGCCCTCATCATCGTTATCAATATCAAATTGTACTAATAATACATATATAGGGACCTATAATATCAAACTATATTACAGTATACTCGTTGGAATTCTATAATTTGTACAGAAAGTTTAAAAAGAAAATAAAAAAAAAAAGAAACGAAAAAACTGAAACAGTAAACCAAAAGCCTCTCTGTTTCCCTCGCACGACATCGTTTTCCTCCCGGCAGTCGTTCTCCTTTCCCTCCCTTCTCCGCCGCCGGCCTTTAATCCTTTCGTGAAAGCTTTCGTTACTCTTCCGGCGGTGCGTGTTCAGAAAACGTTTGTTATTTACGTGTTCTTGATTCCTCGTTGTACAAATTGTAGACAAAATCGAAGAAGTGGTGAGTTGTTCCTTCGAAATTCATTTGGTTTTCATTTCCGAATGCCAATCTCCAGAATTTGTTGCTTTATCTAAATGAGGAATGGGGTTTTCTTTCGTGTGGAAGATTTTGGGTTTTTTTTTTTTTTTTTCTGTAATTCGGATATGTTCCTTTTCAGCCAAAATATTTTGAATTGGTTTCCTACGGGAACTTGCTTTGCATTTAGCGATCCGTTTAATGAATCCTTTAGTCGCCGTTTATATGCTGTTTGAGCTGAACATTGAGATTTGGGATCTTCTTGGCGCTAATTCATACTTTGGCTCCTCCCAAAAACCGTTGTTTGAACATGAAGCTTATAGTTCAATGACTGCTCTGTTTCCAACTTCGTTTTCGTTTTCTCTTCATTGACTGCTATGCGATGCTAATAGTGATTTCTTGTTTCTTTGAAATTACGCTGTGCTTTTTTGTGGACTGATCATCTTGATTGTCTCTTCTTTTGCAGTCTCTTCTTGGGGATGGATTTTTTTTGAATGGCTTAGTAGGTATTGCACTCTTTGGGTGGTTGTACAAAGCTTGTTCTTTTAGGCCATTCAAGCCCATAGCAGTTTAATGCAAAGGAGAGATAATGGCTTTTTATAGAAATTACTCTAACCAGCCAGTTGAGCAAAGTTCTCTGGATGAGAAAGGCCACAGACAGGGAGTGGATAGAGTAATAGGGAATAGTGAGGAAGTGGAGGCTATGTCAAGTGATAATGAGTTGGCTCTGCTAGATAATGATAGAGTAGATAGTACACAAACACCTGCAGCTGGGAATTCTGGTAAGTGGGGTTCGAATTTTTGGAAAGACTGTCAGCCGATGGAGTCCCATGGTGTCTCCGAGTCAGGTGAAGAGTCAAAGAGTGGTTCAGAATATAAAAGCGATGAAGGCTCAGAAGATGATTCTTATGATGGTGGTGCCCGTAGAGTGAGCGAGTTGGAAGATGGTGATACTGGTAAGGAAGTAGGGAAGAGCCAAAATGTTCCTTTGGATGAAATGTTGTCGGATGAGTACTACGAGCAAGATGGTGACGACCACGGTGATCCGTTGCATCATAAAGTTACAAATCCTTCAAGTAGCTTCAGTTTGAAGCCACTGCCTTGCCCTGTTGATGCTAGCAAGCTGGACCCTAAGAAGTCAAGGGCTTTAAACTCTGGTTATTGTGAAGATGATGCTGATTATGAGGATGGCGAAGACGAAGTAGATGGTAAGTATTTCAAAGTCAAGTCTCCTGGCAAGATTTACTCTTCTTTTGGTTTCCATTTGAATTGAACAGATTATGGATTATTTGAATTTGTTATCATTGTTAGTTAGATATTGTCTTATTTTTGCAACGGTCTTGATTATTTGCAGAAGATGACCCCGATGATGCAGATTTTAATCCAGATTATGGTTCCACAATGGATAGAAAGGGAGGCAAGGTTGTACATTTAATGAGTGTTGTAAACAGCCTATTTCCCTACATATGTTTTTTGGACCTAGAACTGATTGCAAATTATTTGTCAAGGTATCATTGTCTTAATGTAGTAGAAAATAGGCATACCTTCCTAGATGACCTTACTCTCTAGGGAATCTCTTATAGCATTTCAAGATGGTTTTAGGGATACTTGGATAAAAAGCCTTTCACATGAAATAGATGCTTTAATGAGCATGACCGATTTAGTGGCAAATTTTTTTATATGTTCGGTGAGCTACATCTTGCAATTACTCCAGAAAGTTGGTAGATGGCCTTGAAAATGCAACTTGCATTTGTTTTGCTTTTGTATGTGCCTCTGTCTTATTGGGGTTTGGGGTGGGGCATAAAAGTGTAACTGAAGAAATTTTTCAATAATATTTAAAAAGGGAGTGCGGGATGGTCTTTAGGTAAATCAAAAACACATGCTATTGTTGTGGTGTGGTATGATCAATAACGTAACTGAAGCAGTTTTAAGCTATTTGTGATCAAGTGTTCATCAAACCTCATTTGATGGTAAATGGTATAGCATCGAAGCCTTTCTTTTGGCCATCTATATCATAAACTTGCAATTTTTTTTGCTACTCCATTTCTGGATGATTTTGTTTCCCTGGGTTTGCATTTAGTTCCTGGCAAATTGCTTTAATACCTTTGTGCCACCCTGCTTGCTGGGAGCCTCTTCTGGCACACGTATCTTTCTTCGACAACAATGGTAGACTATTGACGAGGTGATGTTGCAGAGGCAACGGTTGATGATTTCCATCAAGAATGTTCTCTATCAAAAGCATCTTCTCTGCAGTTTGTTTAGTTTTTGTTCCTTTAAAGTGTGCTACTGCATGTGGTGCTTCCGAGGTTTGGTGCGAGTTCTTTTTGTATATGTTCACACTCAGTTATATTTTGGATCTGATCACTTGTTTATTAAATACTGATTTCATATGGATGCTTTGAAGAATTTATATGGGAAACTCGTAGGGCAGAATTAACTTCTTGCTATTAAATATGAATCTGGAAATGGAAATTAAGGATTGCGAAGATTCTAATCCTCAGGACGTAGTATGAGGTATAGGATAATGCTGTAATGGATGTTAGTGATACTTGTATTGACGTCCTTTTTGAACTCTTGCACGCTGGAATTAATGTGGTACGGTTGCTGCTCCGTCGAAGCTACTTTTGTTTCAACCAATTGACAGTTGGGATTTGGTACAGCTTAACTTTTGATATGGATGGTATATATGCTTAGGCAGTTTGCGCTAGTTAGCATTCATACTCCATGAAAGGCCAGTAGTTTTTCACGTACCAGTAAATTTAGCTCATTAATTAATTGCATTAATTTACTGATGACATTTGATCCATATAGCCGATCCCACATAGTGGGAAAAAGGCTTCTTCTTGTTGCTGTAGTTGTTGTTGTATTATGTTCCTTTTTATAGTTAGCTGGTAAATGCGTGTCTGGTGTTTACGGGACAACAGTCTCCCTGTGGTCTCTATGGGGAACATTTTCCTTTTTTCTTTTTTCTTTTTTGGTTTTGGTTTTAATTTAGAAACTACAGAATCTGCAATATTAAGAATGTAAAAGCTTCTAAGTATATGGACATTTTAAAATAAGAAATGCATAATGTGGATTTGAGTTTTAAGTGGAAAATTTTTTTTTTGTTTTGGATAGGCTGTCCATTACTTTCTCCACATAACTCTTTTTATCCTTTGTTTTGATTCTGAGGATTTTTGTGAAAATGTGTTGGCTTTTATCTCTACCTGTATTCTAGAATTGCAGAAATTATTTTTGTTTATGGGCTATAATCAGCTTTGGCTGACGCTTAATGGTCGCTCAGCCAGACTTCCCAATGAGCCTGCAATAACTTTCCTTTCTATTCTTTGGTTTCCTGCATAATAGTTTTTTTTTCAATTAAATTATTGGTGAACCTGCCTTTTAACAATAAATATTACAGTGATGATATCTGCTCCTTCTAGTAGTAATGAATAGTGAGTGAGTTTGGCAGCAGGATTTTAAAATAATTATATGTCAATGCATAGCAGGTGTGGTGCATTCTTGGTTTTCTCTTGTGTGGTCATTTCTGTACATTGTTGGAACTGAATATTTATCCCTTTAAGTTTATTATGTGTATTTATTTCTTAAGATTCACGGATTGATGATTTTCATGACCTTTTAGGGCTTGTTTGATTACCCAACTTAATGCTTAGTTAATGGATGAAGAGGTTTTGGCTTTAAGCTTGTTCAATGACAATATTTCAAACACTACTTCTGTAGCATGTTGTGCGCTAGAATTGAAGATGGATGATCGTCTTGTCTCTTAAAATGTAGATGGTTATTTTGGTTAACCTAGTTAAACTGAAGTTTTTTGATAACTAGTTTAAGTTATTCCTGTGGAAACCTGACATAGGTAATATTAAATGGTTCATGTTCAGTTCGGCAACTGCGTGATGCTTTTAACCTAAATATTTTACAAATCAAACTTGAATGGATTAGCTGTGTACCAGATGAGTAAAAGAACACCTTTTCAAACATTTGAGGGAAAGATTAAATGTATTATTTGATGTATTGAATGTTTCATGTTTACTTTTCAGTACTGTGATTGGAGCAACTTACCAAGTCTTTGTGGCGTGTGTACCTAGGTCTTTACTTTTCATGGGTTTTTTTTTTATTTTTATTTTTTTTTATCATGCAATGGCTATTGAGACTGGCGAGTTCAACATCTAGCAATATCAGAATTCCTGATACTTGTTTCCTCATCCATTGAACAGATGCCACCCATCTAAGCCCTCTGCCATAACCTCCATTTTTCTTACACTGCTCAACATTCATAATTCTTCCTGGCCTGACTGTGAAAGCATTGATTATCTGCGATGTGCCCCTTATTTCCTGTCCTTGACTTGAATTCTCAAAACCTTAATCTTTCTCTATGCTGCACATTCTCCATGAGTGAATTTCGATTAAAGTTTTTTCTCAGCTTCATTTCTTTTTCCTTTGTAGGATGAAGACTGGGGTGTTGAACAGTCTGATGAATCTGATAACAATGATGGTGAAGATGATTTGAATGTATCAGATGAAGATGATGCATATTATAAGAAACCGAAAGGTAAGCAAAAAGGTAAGGGTGGCCAAAGTGTTAAATCTTCCAGATTTTTTAAGACAGTCGCATCATCTAGTCGGAGGAGAAGTGGTCGACTCAGACTTGAAGAGGAGTCTTTGTCTGAAAAGGACTCCGAGAATGATAGTGATGAGGATTTCGGAAGCATGAAAAGGAAAGGTGTGCAGCTGCGTAGGAAGTATGATGGCCGAGGAGCTGTCAATAACAAGTCTAATAGGAGTAGTGAGCTCCGCAGCTCTAGTAGATCAGTGCGGAAGGTTTCCTATGCTGAAAGTGAAGAAAGTGAGGAACTTGAAGATGGAAAGAAAAAGAAGAGCCAAAAGGTAAGCCTTTTTCTTACCAGATGAGAGCATTTGAGTCCTGCATCTTGGCACTTATTTTGTTTGTTTGTATTTTACTTGTTGGTCTGTTACTTTCTATTTTGTACGCAAATTTTTAAGTTTTACCCCAATTTTCTATTGGTTTTCAAACCTAAATATTTTAACGGCCTTATCTTCTTCTGTTTTTGTTTTTTCTTTTTCTTTTGTTTTTGTCTCTTGTTGGTGCTTGCCGGGTTGTTCAGTGACTAATAATCTCTTTTCATGTTATATCCTTTACTTCTTGCTTTTCATTCATTGTAACTTAACTTCATATGATATTTTGTCTCTGCGCATTAGGCGCTTAATTGAGTTATTGCAGAAGGCATACTCTGAAGTTAGAGCTGGCACTTTCCTTTTCAATTCCGTGTTTTCCCCATGCTGAACAATTGGCTTTCGTGAGAAAGATGTTGGTGAACAGCAGTAACTTTTTGCAGCTAAATACTTGATCAGCTTTTGTCCTGATCGTCCAGGACATTATATTTTTTCTTATTGTTCTTCGTTGCTCTTTGAATGTTGCACAATACCGTGCCTTGCATATAGTTAAGCTTTGGGTCTGTTGGGTGGATACTTCTTTGATGACTTGTCGATGTAGTTGTATCTTACATTTGCTGTGGTTAGTATCATAATCTCCACCTACTTGCTTAATTCTTAAGGAGGAATGTGAAGAGGAAGATGGTGATATAATCGAGAAGGTACTATGGCATCAGCCAAAAGGAATTGCAGAGGAAGCATTAAGAAACAAGAAATCAGCAGAGCCTGTGCTGCTAAGCCACTTGTTTGACTCCGAACCAGACTGGAACCAGGTGGAATTTCTGATCAAATGGAAGGGCCAGTCACATTTGCATTGTCAGTGGAAGTCATTATCTGATTTGCAGAATGTAAGTGTGCTTGAGATGTTTGGTATCTTGAATATAGTAGGAGTAAGATTTTTGTTTTGGTCCTTTCATGTAAGAGGACTATGATGTTGCAAAGGGTGCTCTTAATGTTATTGGAGAATATTTAGAAATACATCTCACAAGCCTTGGCTTTACTGTCGATCTGCAGCTCAGTGGTTATAAGAAGGTGTTGAATTACACAAAAAAAGTAACTGAAGATGTCAGGTATCGCAAGAGAGTATCTCGCGAAGAGGTAACTTCTTTCAGTTTAATCTCAAATCTTTTAAGCAAGAAATATGTAGTCACACAAGCACTTTTAAATCTTTCTGGTTTGATTTCCTTGGTTAAACAAATAAATAAATCATGCGAGTGTTTTTGAATGATTAAATTTACTTATTTGTTCTACCATATGATCTGGTCTATCCAGACTCATTCTGATCCAGGCCATATTTTGTAAAAAACTTATGATATCCAACCAACAACAAACCTGGTAGAAAGACCTTCGTTTTGCACTAGAATATGAATGCGTTGCTAATGTAGCTGACTTTGAAATTAGGATCATCCCTCTAACTATTTTCATCACTTTCTCTTGGATATCAGGAGGGTCAGTGTCGACTTGAATAGTTTAGGGGCCTAATGATTTCTTAAAAAAAGTTGAAGTGTCAAAATTGGCCAATGAAAAGAATTGAGGGGCTGTCCAAAAGGAATTTACTAGGCAGTTTTTACTGAATACTGAGATGATAGTTAATTTTTCTGTGGCGCTATCGTAATTGATAAAGCCTTCATTATGTTCTGGAAGATATTCAGTTGTCTATCCTGGTCGTTCTACTTGTGTAGTTTCTGCCTGTTTTCTTGTTTCTTGATCCTTTGCGCAAAATCGAAGGGAAATGTTTCGTTTACTATAGCAGGAAATCAATGTCTCAAATGTTAGTTGTTAAAGAATCTGGTGATGAAAACAATAATCTTATTAATTTTTAAAGTCAACTGATGTCTTTTACTTTTGAAGAATGTGTTAAACATTTCATATTTAAAAGCTTATATTCCTTTTGCTTTTTGTTTTTAGTTTTTCAATTGGATATCGAATCTGCATCCTGAAAGTTTACAGAGAAATTACTGACACTGCTAGTTGGAAAAGTCCATAGCATGCTTTAAGTCTCTGGAAAAATATGTTATATCCCTATTATATCAAGAAATACTGTTCTTCTGCCTGAAGATCTCTTGTTAGCATCATAATAAACTATTGGTTCGTGTTTGTAGCGGTCTTAATTATTGGCACTGCTAGTTGGTAAAATGGAGAGCATAGTTTTGTTCTGTTACTATGATTTGGTTAAATATGTTACAGGCCTATTATTTACATCAAAAAGTGTTGTTTCTTTTGTTGAGGATATCTTGTTAGCATTTTAATGAATTATTCGTGTTCGTAACGGATGTACCTTGGGTCGCAACAGAGCCTCTTTGTATTATTACAAGGGTAAGGCTCCGTACAACTGACCCCCCAGACCAACTTAGTTTTGAATCTACTGATGTTGATGTTGATGTTGAATTCGTGTTTGTGACGGTCTATGTTTGGTTGCCCCTTTTTGGTATGCATTATGGATGTTGTGATTATCAAGTTGTATAATTTGTTTTAGATCGAGGTCAATGATGTGAGCAAGGAAATGGACTTGGATATCATCAAGCAAAACTGTAAGGTAATTCTTGGGATCTGACATTAATTTTGCTATTGAGAATGTTTGGAATAATTTATTTTGTCTTACATTATGGAAAAATTAGGTGGAGAGGATAATTGCTGAAAGAATCACCAAAGATGCCTCAGGTGATGTAGGACCTGAATTCTTGGTCAAATGGCAAGGGCTCTCCTATGCTGAAGCTACATGGTGAGCAAAAGTATTTTTCTAAATAATAGTGGCATCTCAGTTCAGCTTAAGACAAATGCCATATAAGTGCAGGACTTTTCTGGATAACTTTTCTTCCTTCTCTTTTTCGGAGAAAGCACTGCACGTATAGCAGCTATCATTTCTTACCATGGAACACAGTTACTGACGTTAATTTTTTATTACAGGGAAAAGGATGTTGACATTGCTTTTGCTCAAGATGCGATAGACGAATTCAAGGTTAGTTGTAATATATGCTGTGGGGCACTTGAATTTCATTTACTCCTCCAACTCGGTACAAGTGTATAAATCCCTCTGATAAATTGATTCTGTCTTTTCCGATTTGCAACTTGTCTTGAACTCTCATAGTTAGCCACTCCAGTTTTGTTATGTACTTGTCCAGTGTGAGAAAATTTTTTATTTGGAGAGAGTGGCATACTTTGTTGGAATGAAATAGTGATATATTTACATGCTCTTTACATCAACTGGTAAATGTTATCCAGCTACTTCAGAACACTGCTGAAGAGGAAGGGATTCCACGTGGAATTCAACCCGTTCCATATTAATGCTTTTGACTTTATAGTCTTTTGGTATAATGTGACTAGATTCTTGTCATTCGATCTTTATCTGGCGTTTCCCATGTCTATTTTAAATAGAAGGAAAAGGCTTGCTTTCTTGTTCTTTTTTCCCTTATGTATTAAGTTTTTCTCTATTACGTGCATGTATCACATTTTCCTAGTCCCGAAATCATCTTTTAGGAGGAAAGGATGTTCTTTGGGATTAGACAATTAGTATTGCAGGAATTCGAAAATTTCTTTTGAAGTTTGAAAGTAGAGGAAGTTTTGAGTGTTTAACAATTTTTTTTTAGTTTTAACCTCTAATTTATTTGGATCGCTTCCCATGTTTGGTATCTTTTCATTGGAACTGTCTTTCCCTTGATAGATTTTGAGATATAGTGATATGTGGCTTAAAAATCAGAAGAATGGCTAATGCGGTTAATGTATATGTTACTCTTCTATGGAACTTTGAAATTATATGCTGCAAGCATCTCTGGGAGTGATTAGTATTTTGTTTGTGGATGTGAATAACTTGCTTTTCAGAGCCTTTGTGTTGAAATGTTGCTATATGTTTCTTGAATTTTGCCAGATAACAGTCTCTTTGCTTGTATTTTGATGTCGTTTTAAGAACTTCATAGTTTTACTGTTTGTAATTGTATCTTCTTTTGTGCAGACTCGTGAAGCCTCTATAATGATAAATGGAGCAACAGTGGATCTGCAGCGCAGGAAGAGCAAAGGTTTAACTACTTATCATATTACCTGGCTAATATCTTCTTTTTAATATCTGAGTTTTGATTCTTTATCTATGCATTGTTTCTTTCTTTTTATTGTCTCTGCAAACATGGAGGCTTCAGTATAGTTTTACGGCAAGAATTTTATTATGCCATAGGATATTGTGAAACATTTGGAGAACTTTCTTTCTTTTTGTTGTCTTCGTGAACAAATGAGGGTTCAGTAAAGTTTTATGGTCAGAATGATATGGTGGGGAGAAATTTCATTGTGGCTTGTAATTTCTGACTAGAAAAACTAAAGGCTTCATTTGATGTCCAGTTTCCTTGAAAATGGTGTAGCTTTGGTGGGAATATGGATATTTTGGATTTAATTGGTCTTTGGCTGTTGTCCTTATCTTTTATTTTTCATTTAAATAAAAATTCTTGGTGGAATATCAGAAAACTAATTTTGATGAAAGGGCACATTTTATTTAGTGCTCCATTTTTTTTAGCTTTTATGTGATACGGTGGTTGGTTTGATTCTATATATTGTCGAGCATGTCCAACCATTATTCTTAAATAGAATGTCTTTCCTGAGATACTTCTTATCTAGAAGAAAAGAACTGGAAATACCTTTCTAAAGCGTACTCCTTATGTTACTCGGTAAATGACTTGTTATTAGGACTAAGCAAACACTATAAACTCTGACTTATAGATAAGACCTGGGGGATTATAATCTCGAGACACGCCTTCAACTTTTTTTCATGATTTGTCTTTTTGAACTAGTTCTTCCTTTTCTTTATTAAAGTTTCTCTCCTCTCACCTGGAGCGTATAGAATCTTTGTATCAACTGTATCTGCCCGAAGAGGAAGGATGTGCCGTTATTATTTCTTGAGTTTGTAAGACTTTAAGATTAAACCTCATTGTGTTTCTGGAGGGACAACAGAACTCCATTGGAGATGATGAGAAACATGAAGTGTGATCTCTGTGCGAGGACAAGTCTTGCTGGCCACTAACTGTGGAAGCTTCTTTACAAATGTTGTTAGTGGAAGGGGGAAGCGGGTCTATGTGGATGTGATATGTGGCTTTTTTTATGACGTAGATGAACTCCTTATGTTCTGGATCTAGAAACATATTCTACCGTTAGGTTGCAGTTGCTTTACGAGAAGCTATCTTGAAATATTGCTTCAAAAGTCAAAGCAGCTCTCAGTCCCTTGTATCGCAAGTAACAAATTATACATATGGAAGGAAAATTTGGAAAAACTTAGAATTTGTTCATGTGGCATTGTTGTCGAAACGGGTCCTAATTGGATGTGACATCATCCTTGACCCTGTCTAGTATTCTCTGAATCTGAAAGTGCATTTCATTTCTTTGAAGCTGCATAAAAATTATTCTGTAGTAACTAGGATGCCACATGTGAAGCTTATGTTATCAGCTTCAGGAAATTTTTTTTTTCTTTTCTTGTTGGGGGAACTATTAGAAAATAGTTAGCTTATTGTTCATTTCTTTGTTTTAAATGCTATGAGTTTTATTCTGGCAGTCTCATGTATTTTAAAAAAAAATTGTAAAACTGTGGAGAATGGGTTTACTTTATCAGGTAGTTTGCGGAAGCTTGATGAGCAGCCGGAGTGGTTGAAAGGTGGAAAGCTTCGAGATTATCAGCTTGAAGGTCTAAATTTCCTTGTTAATAGGTAAGAAAGAGGACATATTTGTCTTACATGGTTATTCATGCACTCTGATCTGTTTCTGTATATGGATTTCTGATGTCTTGTTTGTTTCATTTGTTGGAATAGCTGGAGAAATGATACTAATGTCATATTAGCAGATGAGATGGGTTTGGGTAAAACTGTTCAGTCAGTTTCCATGCTTGGCTTTCTTCAGGTACTCATATAATTCTTTTACCCTGTCCCAAAATGATTGTCCAGTTTGGATCATTTGGGGATGGAAGGAGTAATGTTTTTTGAAATCTTTTTTTATTTCCCTTATATTGATGTCATCTTGTATTGTTGTAGAATGCGCAGAATATTCAAGGGCCTTTTCTTGTTGTTGTTCCTCTATCAACATTGTCAAACTGGGCAAAGGAATTCAGAAAGTGGCTACCGAACATGAACGTTATTGTGTATGTAGGAACTCGTGCAAGCCGTGAGGTACCTTGAGCAACCAATCATACTTCTTAAATTATTAAATGGCCACCTTGCATTTGACAATGTCCAATTTTAGCTGTTCAGATGTCTTTTTCGCACTTTCAAGTACTGAGGATTGATATACTAATGCATGTAGTGTGGAACATGACATTCGTATCTCACTTGTCGATTGACATGTCAAAATAATCTCCCCATTAGTTCAATCTTATCACCTTTAAGTCATTGCAGCTGCTATTATGTTCCATAATTTTTCTTGATAGACATGTTTTGCTCCTGAAGCTGTGCATTCTCTGGGCAAATTTGTTTTTCCCATCTGTTCTAATGTTTTTTCTTAATGAAACGATTGGAGTGACTTCTGATCTTGTTTCTAAAATCAACCAGGAGCAATACAAAAGGGAAAAAAGAAAGTTAAAAAAAAAATGAGAGAACTAACAAAAGATCTGTGAAGAATGTCATGGACCTTTGATTTAACACGCTCAGATCATATACTACAGTTAGACTTTTTTTGGGTCTATATGATTCATATCTCGCCCTAACAATCATCACACTCTATTAACACACATACATGGACAGTAAACCTTTGCTAAATTAATAACTTTGTCCTGTCCCAACTTGGGACTAGTAAAAAAAACTCATCGCATTGTTAAAATAACAAGCTACTATTTATATTTTTTTTTCAGAAAACTTCTATACAAATAGGTCCCAGCAATAACATAAATTAGTAGTTATGATACCCACTCAGCACTCATTGCTATTCCTATCTAATCCCCGGTTTTCTCTGTTTATTTTTTAAAGAGGGTGTGATATGGAGCAAGTGTATGTTGTGTTAGATATGAAATAATCCTAGAAATTGCAGACGTTATCGGTTAGTATTATGTGCTGAAGGATATGAGCGTTTTAGTTAAGTGAATAAATATGATGCTTCTTCTTGATTGTAGAATGCTTGTTTTCATTGTATGATTTCTATTCTCTAAGTGGGTGCATATGTGTAGGTCTGTCAGCAATATGAGTTTTACAATGAGAAGAAAGTTGGCAGGAGTATCAGATTTGACTCTCTTTTGACAACCTATGAAGTACTATTGAAGGATAAAGCGGTTCTCTCAAAAATCAGATGGAATTATCTCATGGTTGATGAAGCACATAGGCTAAAAAACAGTGAAGCTTCGTTGTATACCACTCTATCGGTATGCTTAATTTCTTGAGTAAATATTATTTCGAATTGTTATTAGGTTTTCTTTTAGGTGCACATAACTATCTTTTGTGTATGGTCTAAACCATTGCGCTTTTATAGGTTTGGTTACTTACTGATTGCTGTGTATTTAAAATCTGCAGGAATTTAGCACCAAGAACAAGTTACTTATCACCGGTACCCCATTGCAAAACAGCGTTGAAGAACTATGGTATTGATTTCAATATGTTTGCCTTTTCCCTGCTCCAGTTCCCAATTTCATTTCCCCTAGTCAACTTGGTTTATAAAAAGTGAATGAGTGCTAAGTGACTACACTAGTGACAGAAGTTATGAATCTCTTGCTTACACTGTCTGCATCTGTGGGGCCAGGAATGTTTCCTCTTTGTTGTTATGTACACTAGACGAGCTATCACTTAGTTTAGAAGTAAAACTTGTAGACAGTGTGTTTTGTGAAACTGGTCGGGCCGATCTCTCCTTACATATGCAAAATAATCCTATTGATTGGGAAGGTTTCGTTGCAAAGGAAGGAATGCTTTATCATATTATCTCCACAACAGTTTTGTTAGCTGCTGGGTCTAAAACTGGAAGGAAAAGTTTTAGGATACAGTGGGAATCCAGGTCATATATGGTGGATCTATTTGCTTCGTATTATTATTTTGTTGTTCTTTCTTTTCCCCGTATGGTGGTGTTGGTTCTTTCTCCTAAGTAAGGATTCTACACATGTTCTTTTACAGAGTTTGTTTCTTCTGACTGCTTCTGACTGATGTTCGATTATTATGGGATATATCAGTCAATTCGTTTCCTCTTAGCAGATTGATTATAATACATGGTGCTTCTGTCTTTAATTATATGAATCAGCATTGTAACTCATGATTAGTTCATTTGAGTGTTGCTATGCGTTGGGTTTGCATGGTTCACAAACATTTTGTAACCATTTGATTACAACTTTGCTCTCCTACATTGCTGCATTTCTTATGCTCATCTCATTACTGGTGGTTTTCAATTTGGTGTCCATCAATGTGTTATTTGCAGGGCTCTGCTTCACTTTCTTGATTCCAACAAGTTCAATAGTAAGGATGTATTTGTTGACAACTACAAAAATCTGAGTTCATTCAATGAGAATGAGGTGAAGTTTGTATTTCAGATTTAGTATGATTTTGTTTATTTTCTTAATATTTCCATTTGCATCAATCTTAAATTTGTGAAATCCTTATTTCAGCTGGCTAATCTTCATATGGAACTGAGACCGCACATTCTGAGAAGAGTTATCAAGGATGTCGAGAAGTCCTTGCCTCCGAAAATTGAACGCATTCTTAGGGTCGAGATGTCCCCACTGCAAAAACAGTAATTTCCTACTCATAATCCCTGCATTTGATGAACGAGTGTGTTCTTAGAGTTCGATTTGGTTTTTAAAGTTTGGATACCTTATGATTTATATAGGTACTATAAATGGATTTTGGAGCGTAATTTCCAAGACTTGAACAAGGGTGTCCGTGGGAATCAGGTAGCTTTTGAATCAATCCTTAAAAGTGATATTGTGGAGTAAGATTTTTGCTACCGCGATATGGGAAAAAAATAATATTACTATGAAATTATGGTTTCTACTTTTACATGCTACCTTTCTGTTATTGTAATTGTTAGCTCCTCGTGTAAATTCATTGCAGTGGTAAGGCCATATCACTGGTATTAGAAGCCATATGGAGATGTTTAATTTAACACCGCACTATCAAGAACTGGTAGTTGCTTGTTAATTTTATTTGAATCTGAGCACATCATCTAAACAGTAGTTGGAGTTGCAATTCAGAGGACATATTGGTTGTGCATTGTGTTGTTTGGTTAATAATCTGAGGACTTCATCCTTTGACTTTTGCAGGTTTCGCTTTTAAATATTGTGGTGGAGTTGAAGAAATGCTGCAATCATCCGTTTCTTTTTGAAAGTGCTGATCATGGGTATGGTGGGAACACAAACGTTGATGGCAGTGCTAAGCTGGAGAGGATAACACTAAGCAGTGGGAAGCTAGTTATACTTGATAAATTGCTGGATAGGCTACATGCCACTAAACATCGTGTTTTGATTTTTTCCCAGGTCTGTTAAACCATTACGCAGTGTCTGGAAATTTTCAAAAATGGCATCTGTTTTTAATGTTTCAACCTCTGGAGAGTTACTACTTTTGATTTGGACATTCTTTCCTAAAGTATCAGTTGGACTGAGATTTCTTGTTTGTTGATTTATTGAAGATCGTTTCGCTTAATTGCTTTCTGAATTCTCCTCTGAATCAGCCTGGTTTGCATTTTTGCCTGCAATTATTTTTGTATCTGAGCAATAGATGTTGTACTTGTTACGTATTCTATGAAGTTCATGCCTTTGTTAAAGAGATTACTGGATGACTGTAATTAAATGTTTACAGATGTTCTGATTGCTGTTGTTCAGTTTCTGGGATTTTTTCATTGGTGAATGTGATATATTTCTGAAATAAGCTTTGATTGTCTCACTTTGATTCTTGCTGTCTTGACTGCTACGAGCATGTTTTGGGCCTGTAAATGAGCAAAACTTCCCGTCACTCTTCACAAGTTGACTCAACTTCCTTTTTCATGCAGATGGTGAGAATGTTGGATATATTGGCAGAATATTTGTCTCTTAAAGGGTTTCTATTTCAAAGGCTTGATGGCAGCACAAAGGCAGAATTACGGCAGCAGGCTATGGACCATTTTAATGCTCCTGGTAGTGATGATTTCTGTTTTCTTCTTTCGACCCGGGCTGGTGGTTTGGGTATTAATCTGGCAACAGCAGATACAGTCATTATATTTGATTCAGATTGGAATCCTCAGAATGATCTACAGGTTTCGGATGAACTACGTGTCTTCTTTGAACAATATTTAGATGTGCGAAATTCTTTTATGTTTGGGATATAACCATTTTTCCGATTCCATGTTTCATCTTCTTCATCCAGGCAATGAGTAGGGCCCATAGGATTGGTCAGCAAGAAGTTGTTAATATATACCGGTTTGTGACAAGTAAGAGTGTGGAGGAAGATATACTGGAACGGGCTAAGAAAAAGATGGTAAGCAACTTTTGAAGTTCTTGATCCTCTTTGTTCCAGGACTAATCTATTCCTAAATACTTTCTGTATACGAGTATGTGATCAAGACAGACATGTTATGACATTGACCTACTGTGATGTAGGTTCTTGATCATTTAGTGATTCAGAAGCTTAATGCTGAGGGAAGACTGGAAAAGAAAGAATCAAAAAAGGGAACCGGGTTTGACAAGGTACATGTTTGTTTCCACTAGGTTCTTTTACTAATAGTTTGAATGAAAGTGTCGTAATTGGGTAGAACTTCTATCTTCTTATGACAAATTTTAGTTTGGCTCTCTTATTTTGAGTAATTATGTGTCTATAAATGTGCATACAAGTGAAAGAGATGTGGCTTCTTTTATTGACGAAAATAGGGTTAGAATGCTTTTTATCATCTTTCTGAAAACTTACATCATTTGGCATAACTCTTGTGGTGATTGTAGAATGAGTTGTCAGCAATCTTACGATTTGGAGCTGAGGAGCTATTCAAAGAGGACAGAAATGATGAGGAGAGCAAAAAGAAGCTTTTAAATATGAGTATTGATGAAATTCTCGAACGAGCAGAGAAGGTTGAAGAAAAGGCATCCAATCAGGAGGGTGGTAGTGAACTGCTTAGTGCTTTTAAGGCAAGTATACACCTTCAAGGGTTACTTTGTAATATTATCCAAGAGGTGATTGAGGTGGTCTATGGACTCTGCATGCGTAGCTGATTGTTTACTTTTTATTTTCAATTGCTTCTCTCTGGTTGCTGTTGTATCTCAAATTTTTATTCTTTTGCACTCATGGTTTTCCTTACTGTCTGTTTGGTCGGTTGTTTTTTTTCTTTATTTCCTCCCTTTTTGCTCAATAAAGAAATTTTTGTGTTCATGTATGCATATTTTGGGATAATATTTGCAAGGTTTCATGTATTCATCTGTGATTTGTTCAGGTTGCCGATTTCTGCAGTGCTGAAGATGATGGTAGTTTTTGGAGCCGCATGATAAAACCTGAAGCAGTTGCACAAGCTGAAGTAGGAAATTCGTTGTTACTTACATTAATGTCCTTGTCATTTGGTTTTGATTCCTAAGAGTAGTGTTTGTGTTTCTATCCCCTGTTAAATTTAGGATGCTCTTGCTCCACGTGCTGCTAGAAATATTAAGAGCTATGCAGAGGCAAACCCTCTTGAGAGTACTAATAAAAGGAAAAAGAGGGGGGTGGAATCTCAGGAAAGATTACCAAAGCGTCGTAAAGCGGAAACTGGATACTCCCCATCTGTGATTGAGGGTGCGACTGCTCAAGTAAGATGCTGGTCCTATGGAAACTTGTCAAAGAGGGATGCCACCCGTTTCTTCCGTGCAGTAAGTTTTTTTTTTCTTTCACTTGATTGTATCTACTGGTTTTTCTGGAAAGGAATTGTATCAAGTTGAAGAATCTGCGTATGCGTAATAACTCTACGTGTTGGACTCATTGTTAGGCGTGCCAAGTTCAATTGCTTTTTGTTTATTTTCTATTGGAGAGGCCGTGCCTCATTGTAGCAGTGGTTTCCTTAAATCTGATTCTTTGAGTTGCCTCTTTGGCAGGTCAAGAAATTTGGGAATGATAGCCAGATTGACTTAATAGCAGCTGAAGTTGGAGGAGTGGTAGAGGCTGCTCCAACGGAAGTGCAGATTGAGCTTTATGATGCTTTGATAGATGGTTGTAGAGAAGCCATTAAATCGGAAAGCGATGATCCAAAAGTAATGACAAATATGTTTTGAGTGCTTGTGGATTCATTTGTTCTATGTTGTAAGAATATCTTCTGTTTTAATCTAATATTTGACTATGTTAATCTTTAGGGACCTCTGTTGGATTTTTTTGGAGTCCCTGTTAAACCTGATGAACTGTTAAGCCGTGTTGAGGAGCTTCAGTTGTTAGCAAAACGTATAAGTCGGTATGAAGATCCAATATCTCAGTTCAGAGCATTAGCGTATCTCAAACCTGCGACATGGTCTAAAGGTTGTGGCTGGAATCAGAGTAAGTGGTCTTAAGTTTTCACCTTATTTTTAGAGAATGAGAAAGAATGGTTCCTGGCTTGATGTTGCTTTTCTTTTGCTTTTGATTGATGTTTACAATAGACATATTATACATCTTTGATTTTGCCAGAGGATGATGCGAAGCTGCTTCTGGGAATTCACTACCATGGCTTTGGTAATTGGGAGAAGATAAGATTGGATGATAAATTAGGTCTTTCCAAAAAGATTGCTCCTGTGGAACTCCAGCATCACGAGACATTTTTACCTCGAGCTCCACAGCTGAAGGAACGAGGGTCCCAGCTTTTGGAAATGGTAAGGAGATTTATTGTGATTGATTTAGCTGTTCTATAATATTTTTGGGAAAGTTTTTCTCTTTGTCTTGTGTTGCGAGAGTGTTCCTACCAATATTTTTATTTAAAAAACTAAGAAATTAGTTACTTTTGGAGTTACGCCAAGCATCTGTTCTGCAGACAATTTAAGAGACACGATAGCTTAAGAAATGCATGTTTGATTGTGTAGATTTAAACCTTTTCCTAGTGAAGATTCAGAAATTTATTTCTTCTATTAAGGTGGGGCGGTGTGAAAGAACTGTAGGAGAGACAGGAAGGGACAGACTGATATGCAAGCAAATGATAGTTGTATTGAGGGGTATATTGTTTGAGCTACCAAGGAAGCAATAAACACCTAAAAATGCAAAGACAATCCGTAAAGAAAAAAACTAACCTCATGAGGGTTACATGTCTTAGAGCGCTATCTAGGAAGCAATAAACACCTAAACATGCCATGGGGCAAGTCCGAATTGGAAAAGGCTAATTGTCTCTTATCATCATAAGGACTTTGTCCAGTTTGACATAGGTCATAGTTTCCTTCTGCTTAATTTTTCATATTGGAAAAATTTATGGTCCAGTTGATCCGCGTCCAGTAGACTCCCTTTTCTGCTTATATAAATGAATGAAATCTTCTACTGTTGTCATCAGGAACTTGTGGCTGTTGGTGGAAAGAATTCTGATGTGAAAGTTGGTCGTAAGGCTTCTAAAAAACAGAAAGGTGCTCTTTCAAATGTTACTGCAGGTCGTGGTAAAAGTAGGCAGGGAAATCCAGGCTCTTCTGGGCATAATGCTCAATCTATTAAGGCCAAAGCTTCAAGACCCCAAAAAGTAGAACCTTTAGTTAAAGAAGAAGGTGAAATGTCTGACAATGAAGAAGTTTATGAGCAATTCAAGGAAGTAAAATGGCGAGAATGGTGTGAAGATGTCATGGCTGATGATGAAAAGACGTTGAAACGTCTACAGCGCTTGCAAACTACGAGTGCTGATCTTCCAAAGGAAAAGGTTCCTTAAAACTTTGTTTTTATCTCTCATCTTTTGTATTTCTCTGGCTTATTTTCTGATGGTTCTTAATTAATTTTTGCACCAGGTATTATCCAAAATAAGAACTTACTTGCAACTTCTTGGACGGAGAATTGATCAAATTGTCCTTGAATATGAGGAGGGGCCCTACAAAAAAGAAAGTATGTTTTAGTTGAATTTACTTGCAACTTCTGTGATTATTTTTGTCTATTTGATCAAATTGTCCTTGAATATGAGGAGGGGCCCTACAAAAAAGAAAGTATGTTTTAGTTCAATTTACTTGCAACTTCTGTGATTATTTTTGTCTATTTGCTCTTGGTAAATAATTCCGTGAGTTCATATGTTAACAGGAATGAGAACGCGCCTTTGGAATTACGTCTCCACCTTTTCCAATTTGTCAGGGGAGAGACTTCATCAGATATATTCGAAACTAAAACAAGAGCAACCATCAGCCGGAGTGGGTCCATCCCATATCAATGGTTTTGTGCCAGGCGATCAGATGTCCGCGTCATTGGACAGAGGCATTGATACAGAAAGATTCGAAGCATGGAAGAGGAGGAGAAGAGCTGAGACTGAGACTCCCCAAACGCAACCATTCCAACCTCAATATCAGAGAATGAGTAATGGAACACGTGTAACTGACCCAAATTCTTCTGGGATTCTTGGGGCTGCACCAACAGACAGTAGACAGTTCTTTAACGGTAGGCCTTTTCGAGTGCATCAGGCCAGTTTTCCCCCAAGACATGGTTTTTCCTAGATTATCAAGTAATTGCGGTTTCATGAGGAGCATTGTAAAGACCACTTTCCTCGTCACAAGCTTTGCTTTCAAAGCCAACTTGTTGGAAGAAATTTTGCAGATTGACGTCAAGTGTTTAGAGAGGAAAACCCATACTTGGAGAAGGGGCTCACAAATTTGAGGATCCTTAAAAAGTGTGGGATATGTTGTTTATGGTGGAGTATCTTTGTTCTTGAAAATTTTATAGTTTTTCTTTACAAATAGAAAGGCCTCATATTTCTCGGGTATATAGCCATAGTTGAAAGGGAATCCCATGGTGATATGCCATTAGAGCCATTGGGAATGACAAATTGTATGTAATTTTGTGTAATATGCAATTTTGTTTATTTATTGAGTTAATACATTGCTTACAGTTTCCATCATCTAGAAAATAAACTATTTTTTTTTCCCTTTTTCTTGGATGTCTTTTTCTGAGTTTTATCCCTGTATATTAAGGTTACATGAGCAGAAAATAAGAAAAGCATACTGTTGGAATTAGAGGACACAAGCGGAATGAAAATAAGATGTAAGAAACTCCATTACTATTAGAAGGAATCAAGTTTTACTCAAAAATCAAACTTATCCACTTTAGAATTTTAGTTTTGTATAATTTGAATTAAAATTGAGAATTTATATTTGTTATATTCAGGTATGATCATTCTTGCAATTCCATCAGAACTCTGAAGTTAAGCGTATTTGAGCGGGAGTAGTATTAGGATGGTTACCCCCTGGAAAGTACTCGTGTTGTACCCCTTCCAACCTTTTGATTTTTCCAATGTGAAACCAGCTACCTACCTTGTTACAAATTTGCACCGGTATGGGCCTTTTTTCTTTTTCCTCTAGAGCAACGCTCCATGAGCCTATCTTTCCCTGATGAATTTCGAATTTGAATTAATGATCGATGAGGATTATCTTCTTCTTCGATCAATGATGATGATCTTGTACTTCCTTCAAATCTCCACTACACCTTATCTAATCATTATTCCCTGTCTCATATCCCTCATCTTCAACAGTTTTTCTTATTGTTTTTAAGATTTCAAAAAGCGTCTATATTCATCTTAAACATACATCACAATCCAGACTAAAGATCAACTATGATCTCTAAAATCAAAAATCCATTTTCAAAAATCCTCTATTACTTATCCGGAATTCCATTCCTATTTGCACATCTCTTTTTTCTTTCTATTTAATGAAACCCCAAAAGGTTTCGTTTTTCATGAATCTAACAAAACTTACTCTATCTTTCAAATTTTACAAGTTGTTCCATCCTTTCTACTCTCCCATACAGATCTGAATCCTCTTCTCTTCACCTCTCTCGCCATGGCGGATGAACTTGCGGCACTATACTCCAAACTTTCTCTGAAACCCAATGTGATTCTGGCGGAAAGAAATGCCCATGCTATCAAACTGACAGCCACTTCTGAAGCAATTGATTTGGCAGTCCAAGGAGCTTTATGTCTTGCTGTCAAGATCCTTGGTCAGTTTTTGTTCAGCTTGAAGCACTGTTAGACCACATGCACAAAGCCTGGAAATGCAAGGATTCTATTGAAGCCGAACCTATTGGTAAAAATCTATTCTTGCTGCAATTCAAGTTGATTTCTGACAAACTCAGGGTTTTGGAAGGTGCTCCTTGGAATTTATATGAAAGGATTACAAAGGAGACATTCCCTTCAACAAGCTCCAGTTTACCCATTGCCTTTTCTGGGTCCATGTATACAACGTTCCGGCAAATCTCATGACCCGCTCCACAGCACAAACTGTCGCAAATGAAATCGGCTTGGAAGTTCGAACTAATGCACAAGGTAATTGCGGGGGTTATTCAATCAGAGTTAAGGTATTGCTTGATATCACTAAACCAGACCCCAGGATGTTGGAAGTTTCATCCAATGATGAGTTGATGACGTTGTACTTCCAATACGAAAAGCTCCCGATCATGTGTTTTCATTGTGGTATCATAGGCCATCTCAAAAAAGACTGTGATGAAAGGCTCCTAAAAGGTGTGGCAGAAAACGCTAAAGAAAGATGGAGAAAATGGCTCAAGTTTGAAGAACCCCATAAGCCTCAGGCGATAACCAACCGGAAGAAATATGTTGCCGGCGGCAGTGCTGACCCGGAAAATTCAAATCCCAACTTGCAATCAACCCCAACTAGAAATCTTATCCCAACCAACTTCCCCAGTATTCACGTGCTACTAACAAGCATGACCCGGGATAATACCCCAAACCCAAACCCACCACCCAAAAATCAGGAAAATCAAAGCAACCTGATAATACAGACCCAACCAATCCCCGAAAATCTTGACCCCCTTCAAATAACTTGATGTTAGCTAACCCCAATCTACCCCACCAAATCCCTGATAATTCTGAGATGTTGATCGACCAAATCCCTCAACCAGTGCTAACAAATCCAACCCAAACAACCAATGATCGCATAACCAATGAACCAAACCCAATCACTCCAACCAATTCGATCCCAACTATCAAAATGCACGAACCAGCCTAACCTGATCCCAAAAGGAAAACCAGTATTCCCAAAACTCACCCATCATCAAACTCTCATGTATCCATCAATAGTCACACTCCTACATAGAACCCAAAAATCATGGAAAAAGACAAGAAAGAACGTCGTCCTGAATCAACTGCTAACACACAAACCAAGCCAAAATCCCCGTTGATCGTTGAAATTCCTGCACCAAACTGTCCTCCCTCCCCCTTAATGAAAGGCAAACTTTTCAATCTCAATGAACTGATATACAATAGCAATCTCCCACCCCTTCTGCCTACTCCAAAAAAATAGAAACAACTATCACTCTCTATTCCAACCCACTCAAACAGCCCGATGAAAACTCCTCAGAAAGCTACTCAGTCAAACAAGAAGAAAACACCAGCGGTGGAGACCGATAAAATTCGGTCCCATCGACAGAAATGAGTTACCTATCATGGAATTGCCGAGGATTGGGAAACCTTCGAGCAGTTATAGAGCTGAAAGAGTTAATCCGCAAAAATAATCCCTAACTTATCTTCCTATGTGAGACGAAATGTGCTTCCTTTCAATTTGATAGAATAAAACGTAGTTTAAATATGTTTTGTTTTTGTGTTAAGTCAATTGGCAAATCTGGGGGTCTTGCCATGCTTTAGAATAAAGATGTACCAGTTGCAATAAAAAATTCTTGTTCTCATTATATTGATGCTCTAGTTCATTTCAATGATCCTGAAAAAATATTCAGACTCATTCAGACTCACTGGCTGTTTCGGCGAACCTGACACCTCTCTCCGTCATGCATCCCGGAATCAATTCAAAAGCCTTTACTTAACCAGCATCACTCCATGGCTCTGTATTGGAGACTATAATGAAATCTTGAACCATACTGAGTGCTCTAGTCAGAGATTCTGCCAGACTGTCAAATCTTTAATTTTCGCGATGCCTTAGACTTCTGCGAATTGGATGACTTGATCTTCAAAGGAATCTCATTCACCTGGTTCAGAAATAGAAAACACCCTCATACAGTAAAGGCACGTCTAGACAGAGCATGTGTCAACACCAGTTGGAGAGCGACCTTCCCAACCTCAAATGTGCAGCACCTATTCAGTCATTTGTTAGACCATATCTCTATATTGGTCAAGTTCCAATAGTGCACAAGGTCTTATCAACATAAGAGGAAAAACAGAAGATTCCAATTTGAATCATGTTGGATTAGAAGAATTGATATTGAAACAGCAATACAAGAATCTTGGAGTGAAGAAAATAAAGACTTGTTGGAAAAAATCAATGATTGCTCAGTTGGTTTGGTGAATTGGAATAAACAGTACCAGAAGGCTAGCCGGAAAGAAATTAAGAAGCTAAGAGCTAAAGTTCAAAATCTTCAAATGAGCCCATTGGATGACATCGCGTATAATGAACTACATGAGAAAAAACTAGAACTTGAGGCTCTTCTGACGGAGGAAGACGATAAGTGGAAACAATAGGCGAAGCTTCACTAGAACATGGAAGGTGAACGCAACACAAGATACTTCTACATTCATGCAACCAAAAGAAAGGAGGCCAATGAAATAAAAGGACTGGAGAACAACCAAGGATCATGGTGCTCTGAAAAAAGTGACGTGGAGAAAATCATTGTGGATTATTTTAGTGATCTCTTTACTGCCTCGTCTATTCCGGATTCGGATCTTCACTTTGTTCTTTCTTAATACACCCAAAAGTGACGGGAGAGTACAACGGGAAGCTGGAACAACCCTACACAGCTGAAGAGGTAAAAAAAGTATTTGTTTTTAAATACATCCCACAAAATCCCCAGGTCCAGACGGTATACCACCTTTATTCTTTCAAAAATTCTGGCCAATTGTTGGTGGCGATGTCACATGTTACATTCTAAATTTTTTGAACCATGGTTGTTTTGACCAAAAAATCAACTCCACACACTTAGTACTAATACCAAAAATAAAAACACCAAAACTTATCTCTCAATTTTGACCCATATCTTTATGTAATGTGGTTTATAAAATAATATCAACAACTCTAGCAAATAGAATGAAGAAAATTTTACCACATGTGATATCTCCTTCTCAATCGGCTTTTGTCCCAAGTCATTTAATTACTGATAATGTTCTTGTGGCACAGGAAATTCATCATGAAATTTGGAAAAAAGTCTCAGGGAAAGAAGACTCATGTCAATTAAATTAGACATGAGTAAAGCCTTCGATAGCGTAGAATGGAAATTCATTTTGCTAGTCATGAAGGCCCTAGGTTTCTCACTCTCATATATATCTCTGATTGAAAAATGCCTAACCTCTACTTCTTTTTCCTTCTTGCTAAATGGCCAAGAGTTTGGCTGTCTAACTTCACAACGTGGTATAAGATAAGGAGACCCTTTATCCCCGTATCTTTTTATCATTTGTGCGGATGTCTTTTCTTTGATGATACAGGAAGCTCAAAGAGTTGGCAATCTAAAAGACGTTCAAGTGGCCCCAACAGCTCCCAAAATCACCTATTTGTTCTTCGCAGATGATATCTTGTTGTGTGGCAATGCAACCACCTTGGAGACCGAAGCATTTGCAAGCATTATTCAGCTCTATGAAAAGGTCTCCAAACAAGTAATCAACTTGGACAAATCGGCGGTCGTATTCAACAAAAATACTTCCCCAGAGTTAGCGAGCTCGTTGTCAAATCGGTTGGGTGTAAAGCAAGTGGAATCACATGGCAAGTATCTGGGGTTACCATCAATCATAGGTCACCGAAAGAATGAGATTTTCAGCGATATAAAAGACAGAATCAGGGCACGACTAGAAGGCTATGCGAAGAAAATGTCTATCACAAGCTGGAAAAGAAGTCTTGATCAAATCTGTGGCTCAAGCAATACCCACATACGCTATGAGTTGCTTTGAACTCCTAGAAGGGCTTTGTGACGAAATTCACTCCATTATTGCCAGTTTTTGGTTGGGAGATTCAAAAGAAAAAATGAAAGATTCATTGGCGGAGTTGGGAAACATTGTGCAAATCAAAAGCTAATGGTGGGTTAGGGTTCAAGAATCTGAAGCTATTCAACATTGCCTTGTTAGGAAAACAAGCCTAGCGGCTTCTCACAAACCAAAAGTCTCTACTGTTCCAAATTCTCAAAGCCCGTTATTTCCCAGATTCTGATTTCTGGAATGCCAAGCTAGAATCACGACCATCATTTAGCTGGAGATCGATCATCTCGGGTAGAAATGCACTCTTGAGAGGATGTCGAAAGAGGATAGGGACTGGGAAGAATACAGAAATCTGGACTGACCCGTGGCTTCCGAAACCTTTCAACTTCAAGATCCACAGCCTGCAATCTCTATTTGCCGGAAAACTCACCGTTGATGCTCTGATTAATGATTCTACTAGAACTTGGAACCAAAGCCTCCTCAACCACTTGTTCTGGCAAGAGGAAGTTGACTTAATCTCCAGCATCCCTTTGAGCAAAACGACTAACAGAGACTTCTGGATTTGGCATTATACTACACATGGTAAATATACTGTGTTGAGTGCCTACAAAGTGCTCCAAGCCCACCCCAGTTACTAGAATAGCCCCCTCCCTTCATCATCAAATTCTAGTGAGGGCACAATAATATGGAGACGGCTCTGGAACGTCAACATCGCCTCAAAAATCAAGCACCATCTCTGGCGCACGATGACAGACTCACTTGCTACTCAACAAAATTTGCTAGCCAGGAAAATTCAGACCCACGGTTGTTGCTCATCATGTGGAGACTCCGAAGATCTACGGCATGTCTTCTTTGACTGTAATTTTGCAAAAGCAATTTGGCGTTTGGCGAATCTTGATATGAGTATCTACGAAAAAAAAGCCACACTGACATTCGATTGCAATTGGCAGATATTCTTTTATCACTATCATCTCAAAAGCAAAGTCTCTTTGCAGTAATCTGCTACAATCTTTGGTATGTCAGAAACACAGAGGTGTTCGAGAATTACAACTGCTCGGCAGAAGCAGCCCTACGGTCGAGTTTAAGTTCACTAGACTCTTGGAAAGAAGCTCAACTTCATAATTTTATGTCCCCTCCCCTTGCGTGAAAGACCATTAAATTTCCTAGAATCCATGACAGGAACTTGTGTTCTCTTTGATGGTGCAATCAATTCCAGCCTTAAGCTCTCCGCAGCAGGCGTATTAATTTGGAACTGCAACACAGGATTTATAGGCTGCTATGCAAAGACCTTTGAAGGTTTGTTCACCCCGTAAGTGATCGAAGCCCTAACAGCCAGAGAAGTAGTGAAACTAGCCTGTGTAACAGGTATCTCGTTTCACTCTTCTTGGAGATTCAACAACCATTATTCACCGTCTGAATTCCGAAGAACTAGATTTATCAGTTTGTAGTCTCATCGTGGAGGACATAAAAGCACGCTTCAAAAATTTTGCCGAGCTCGATTGCAAACGGATCAACTGTTGTTTTAATGTTTTTACTCATGACTTAGCACAATTTGCAAAAAATAGTAGAGACTTTGAGAAATTATGTAATTCAATCCCTAACTTTATACCTCTTTCCGTGTTGGCGGGTTCCCAGCAAGTTAATGAAATCCATATTTTTATCCAAAAAAAAAAATTATTTTAGTGATGATATTTTTAACTTCTACTAGAAACTTTAATATAATTACTTTCTTTTTTCTTTTTTGAAATATTTTTAACTTCTACTAGAAATTTTAATATAATTACTTTCTTTTTTCTTTTTTAAAATGGTAATTTAGTAAATATTGATACAATTTAATGCTAGAGGTTAGAAGTCAAAAATGGAAGAAAGAATGTCACAAATCGTTTGACATTAATTTTTGTCATTCTCCTCAATAATTCATAATAATATTAAATAATTATTTCGAGAGAGAACATAAGGTTATGCGCTGGAAAAACATGACGGCTGACACAGACTAAATTTATTTAGTTTTTATTTTGTATTTGGGTTAGTGTCGTAAATTGTTGCTACCCAAAATTCTGAAACATCGTTCTATTTTATAGATTGAACAGTATCAACAATTCACTCTAATGGACCTTACTTAAATGTGGATAAAACTCCCCTTACAACCACTGTGAGAATTGAAACCTAATCTATTATTAGGAAAGATAACAACCTAACCGTAATTCAATTATGTTTGTTGTTTGTACATGTAATCACAATATCTAATCAGTCTATTAAAATTAATAGAGACGAGAGATGTCGACAGAGCAACAAGAAGCACTTAAAAAAGAAGATTTGGAGCTTCAAATTGAGTTTTACAAAAGGCAAAGTATGTTCGTTCATAGAGTATCATGAACACAACTGTAATAGAAGAAACTAATTACAAGAGTATCACAGAAACTGCTTGCATTAAATCCTAGAAGGAATCAATGGGGTGGTGTTCTGTAGATATGCACAAGCAGCTGCCACCCCACTGCCAAGTTTGACTGGGTAACCAACATCCTTGAGCACCATTTCCACTCCAGCCAGACAGCCTAGAAGTTGGCACTGAATTCAAAGAGGACGATAAAACATTCAGAGCTATATGACTACTAATGAAAGATTCATTGTGAAAGGGTAAATGACTACTAATGAAATAAAAACCTGGTTCATCAATGCAATCCTTCATAGTTCAAATCATTTCACCAGTTCAGTAATCGAATCTCTTACTATTGATTTCCATTGAACGGATATGACATTATGTTGAGTAGGGGGGACATTAATAACAGCAGCACATCTAGTTCAATGAAGAGAAAAATATGGTTACCTCATTTAAGTTGCCAAGATGACCTATCCTGAAAACCTTCCCAGCAACTTTGTTTAGGCCAAGTCCTAAGCTTAAGTTATATCGCTTCCACGCCCTTCTAACGATTTCAGAACTTTCGATATAAGGAGGGACAACCACAGCAGTGACTGTGTCACTGAACCATTCCTCCTTTTGGGTGCAGTTCTTTAAGCCCCAAGCTTCCACAGCAAGTCTTCAATAGCCCATGTTTCGTCGAAATCCCACAAAACAAATTAGAAATAATGCACCAACTTTTGAAACATTGGACAGACTAAGTAATTCTGACCTAACTTTAATTTTAAAATATAGTGGAATATATGCTGCCTTTGTATTTGGAACGAAAGCAGAAGAATGATGTAAGATCCTTGCATTAAGATTTCAAAGTACCTTGTTGCTTGGGCCAAGCGGGAATGCCTAGCAATTACATTTTCAAGTCCTTCCTCAAAAATGAGATCCAGAGCTGCTCTTAGACCATAGAGGAGTTGGATGGAAGGGGTGTATGGCCAATAAGTTCCTAACTTATAGAACTTCAAGTAGTCCTTCCAATCGAAGAAAACTCTCACCGACTTTGCAGTTTTGGAAGCCTCAAGAGCCTTAGGACTTGCACATACAATTCCCATTCCTGTGGGAAGAGAGAGTGCTTTCTGGGAGCCAGTCAATGCCACATCTACTCCCCATTCATCCATGCGAAAATCGAGTGCGCAAATGGATGACACACCATCGACAAGAAAGAGTGCTGGATGGTTGTAGTGATCTGCAGTTGGTTGCAATTTTTCGCACGAAAAAAAAAAAAAATAGTCATTTTAATGTTTGTTATAAATGATAGAAACTTGTAGTACATCAAACTAAAGGCGACGAGGGGCGCACCAAGAATTTTTCGGACAGTAGCCAAGTTGTTGGTGACTCCAGTTGCGGTCTCATTGTGTACAATGCAGATGGCCTTGATGGTATGATTAGTGTCTGCTGCGAGTTTGGAGGCCAAAACTTCCAGATTTGCACCTTGACCCCAATCACTTTCAACCACATCCACATTGAAGTTAAGGCGTTGCTGCTGATCAATCCACAACAAACTGAATTGCCCAATTAAGAATGACACAATCCGATCTCCAGGTGACAGCGTGTTCGTCAGTGCACTTTCCCAAGCGCCAGTTCCTGTCACAAAGTAAGGCTATGTTCCATAATTTTTTTTTTTTAATTTTTTTATTTTTCTAGAGTACTATACGGATTGTCCTGATAGAGGTTCTTGTCAACACACCTAATGATTTTATGTCACATAATATATATATATATATATATATATATATATTTTGTTTTCATTCGTAATTAATTTAAAACTTTACATACCCTTTTTCATAATTACTAAAATCCAAAAAAAAAAAAGGAAATAAACAAACACTTATGGCTAAAGGACCACATTAGGTAGCACAATATAATTGTCTTGGACAAAGTCAAGACAAACATTTTTTTTTTTTTTTGGTTAGGGAATGTTACTTTTCTACCTATGTTAAAAATTACATAACGCAAATGTAAAAAGTTTTGTTGAAAAGAAAATATGTAAAAGAATACACAAAATACGAAAAGGAAAAAAAATGAAGGAAAAGTTGATAGATTATGAGAATTACCTGTGGTTGGGAAGAGAAAAGGGGTTCCACTAGTAGTCTTAAAGATCTTCTTGACATCCTCAAGTAAAGTTTTAGTCATGGCCGGAATTGCTGGAGACCGATAGTCTTCATTGTTTCGGTTCATAGCCCGGATGACTTGGTCCGGTATATTCACCGGCCCCGGCACAAACAGGTGGTTCCGTCCTGGTCCGTTCACGTAATCCATCTTTTTCCGCCCGCAACTCCTTACTTAATAATCCTATGCTGATTTGGTTGAGGAAATAAAAAAAAAAAAACTTTGAAATGTAGTACATGTTTCACAAAATCATTAAAACTGCAGATTACATGCAAACCTTTTTAGAAACACTTTTAAAATGGTGAAAATTCATTTTGGGACTTATTCGAGATTTTCTTATTCCAATAAATACTTGTACAGTGTTTCCCCTTTTTCTGTATTTGACTTTAATTTTTTCCAATCATGAATTAAAACTTCATTAACTGTTCTATATTTCAGTGCTAACATTTCCTTTTCAATTTTTTCCCTTGATTAGCGCGTATCATTTTTAGAGAAACCAGATACATTTGTCGAGATTAAGATTTTACAAAAGAACGTCAAAAATAGCTGCACTATTTCGATTTTCTTTCTCTATTGGTAAAACAATTTCAATCACAAGCATAATTTTTTCATTTTTTTTTTAATTAAAATCGAGGGACAAGTAATGAATAATAAACAAATTAAAGGTGATTAGGCCATTTGTTAAAAAAAAAAAAAACCGCAAAATTGCAATTTCAAAGTTCCACTTTCAAATGAGTGGTTCGCCACCTTTAAAAAAAAAAAACAAAACCGAAGAAGGAAATAACATTAAATCCTAATAAAACAAACGCAAAAAACGAATGAGGAGTTGGTTTGGTGGTAAAATCAAAGATCATGAGTTCAATTCCCCACTTTAACAAAAGTTAGTGGTTAGCTTTCACCTTGCCTATTAGCACCTCTAGTGACTTGCTATGGCTAACCCACTAATGAACCTCGATTTCGCACTCGAGCTTGTTACCCCGGACTTAACTAGGATGGTTTACCTCCCACTATGATTTACAGAATATTGCAGTGAGCATGTGTTTACCTGGTGGGGTCCCCGACAAAAAAAAAAACAAACGAAAGACCAAGGAACCGAGGAAAAGGTGATTATTGACCTTATCTGTTTTTGTAAAATAGTTTCTCCTATGAAATTATTGACAAACAAGTATTGTAAAGGAATTTTTACAAAGAAAGAAGAAATGATCAAGAGTTATATTTACAAGACTTGTTAGAAGATTTGTTTTTGTTTCCCTCTTTCATGTAACTCTCAAAATTTATAACATAGCGATAGCTAATTAATCAACATACAATTTAAAGAAATACAAAAGGCAACGAAAATTCAATCCGACATTATTTTACCAATCGTAAAAATTAGTAGTATATCTTTCACGAGTTCAGTTAAAACAAACAAAGACAGAGCAGGAGAAAAACATCATGTTATGTAATCATCGATTGATTTTTTCGTTTTCAGAGAAAGAAAAATACCTCAAAAATATATTTGTGAATTGTTGATAAATGCTTCAAAATATCCCACTCTCCTGAGTCTCCTCTGGGTTTCGATCAGACCAGAGATTGAAGAAGAAGAAAGAAAGAAAGAAAAGAGTGGACGGAATTTGCCCCAAAAACAAGAAATGAGTCTCCAAAATTTTATAAAGACCTCGGGAGACCACCAATCAGTAAGACTACTCTCTGAACTGTGGGTGTCGGGGGCCCACGTTGAACTTACGTGGCAGATAAGAGGGAACCCAAATGGGAGAATCCTGCGGCTAAGAGTGGGTGACATCAGATCAGAGCAGACAAAAATTTCGTCTTCCTGTGTTTTTGGGAGTAAAAAATAATTAAAAATAATACTGTACAAAGAGGAAATAAAGGGAATTTGCAACTTTGAAGTTTTGTACCCACACCACGGCCATAAAAATTCAATCCTTATTTTGGATTATATATTCTTCGATCTTCGATTTGTAGCCTCTCTTTCCTAATACACACATCCATTTGTCTTCACATTAGGGAGAAAATGGGGAAAAACAAAATACACTTCCATTGTCTTAAATACCTTAAATTTAACTAATTTGAACTCAAGTTGGATTGATTCATTTGAAAAGTAAAATTCTTCCCATATAATCTAAACTATGATCATAATTAAATTGATCCCCCATGGATTAAAGTGCTTGCAATGTGCCAGATTTGGCTTTTTTATACGATATTTACATTAAGGGGGAAAATTGGCCGATCTAGCTAAAACTTTACATACGTTGTCAATTATCCTATTCTTTTTCACTTAGTTAATATTACCGTAATCTATCCAAATATTAGCCAATTTTGTCTACTTTGCCCAATCTTCGTTTAACTTAACGGAATTATGTTAATTTTATAATTTTTGAAAATATTAGGATGCTTTTGTAATTAAAACTAAGGGGTTTGAAAGTTCATACCAAAACCTCGTCCTTGCGAGTTTACCATTATCAAGTTAGTTACAAGATACTCCTTCTCGGTAAATCATGTAATATGGCATTAATTATGTAAAATTAGTACTCTCATGTCTCATAATTATTGTCCAGTTTTACTAAAATGAAAGATTTTATTTTTTGTCAAACTTAACTATATTATACCTTAAACAACCGGATATACCCCTACATAAGTAATTGTTTAACCACTAAATTTTATAGATAATCTTTCTTACTAAGGACAAATGTGTAACTTGATTCATAAAAAGTCAAATTGGACAATAATTTTAGGACAAATTTTTTTTGACAAAGTGGACAATAATTATGAGACGGAGGGAGTATTTAGTTTTATTGTTGGAGAAGTTTTTTGAAAATTTGTTGATTTTGGTTGATTTTGTACAGTTCATGAGTTGCGACTGAAAAAATTTATTATTTAATAGAGTTTATTAATTTATGAAATATCAACTTGGAGAGTTTTTACAGTAAATGTGAAGTTAATTAACACTATCCCACTTCAAAGAAATTGTCAATTTTATTGTTGTGTTTTGATTAGGGTACATGACAAAGGTGTGTAGAAATATTTGTAGATGAAATAATCAACAAAATTTTACAAATTTTTACAAACAAATAGAATAATATTTCTAAAATAGAGAATAAATGATTACGAAAACATGAAAATTATTACAATAAGACTAGATTATACTCCCTCCGTCCCATAATTATTGTCCAGTTTGGATTTTCATTTTTAGTTCAAATTATACTAAAAGTAAAATCTCAAACTGGACAATAATTTTAGGACAGAGGGAGTATAATTTTTTGCAGGGAAAGTGACTATTAAGAGATACTACAGTGTTATTCAATAATGAATCTTTAAACATTCTAAAATTATAAATACCCGCATGAAACTCCGTAACGAAAACTCAATCACAAAGTTACTATTAAGAGATTTAGAGTGTTTCTTTAAAAAAAAAAAAAGAAAAAAAGAAAAAGAAGATAGTATAACTGTAAACAAAAAAGAAACCATATACATGATGGACAAACTAAAAAGCTATATATATATATATATATATATATATATATATATATATACTAGTTTTTTCGTGCCCACACTCCGTGTGGGCTTTATCATCAATCGGCAAGTTTTCTTTCTTTTTTTAAAAAATAAATTGATAACAATGAGCGTTGATAATTAATAGATGATTGAGTATGGAGTATTTATCAAAATGACTGGAAATTGCTTCTAGTAAAAGAATTGTTATCTTGTTTGGTTATGTAACAAAATAAAAATAATGATTTTATCCTTTCGTGTTGGGTAAAACAATGATTAGTTTTTCGTTTCCAATGAAATAAAGTTGTTAAAAATTATTAATAATACTGTGGACACACAAAAATTTTGAACAAATATGTCTATTTAAAATAAAAATGTTTAGTATTCAATCTGAATTTTTGGGTGATAAAATGAAAGTAGTAGATATACTTTTGGGCCATTCAACTATATGGTGTAAATCATGAAAAATATGCTTCTGTCATGAAAGTTCTTATTTTGTTAATTATTTTATTACATGAGTAAAAGAAAATTATATATTATGGTAAGGGTCACCTCATGCGACTCCTTGCCAAGTATAAACGTGGATCACTTTCTATGTGTGCACAAAATTAGTAGTTAAACTCGCTTCGCTCTTTAATATAAGTCATTTTGATTTGTCCTGTGTTTTACATCGTATGTCTATTTTACGGACAAAAAAATCTTTAAAATATTTCATAACAATCAAGAGAATCTTAATTTAAGGCTTATTCTTTAAATTATTTTTGATAATGTCATCAGTAGCATTGTGCATAAAATTATTCATTTTTGGAAAAATACGAATTGAAATAGAAAATATAATGGTGAAGAAATCAATACCAATGGGAAGAGTTTGCTCCAACTCTGAAGAGAGGTGAGAGAGTGCTCCAGTAAGAAATGGGTTACCAGGAACTACAAATAGAGGAAGGGGAGAATATAGGAAAAATAAAAATGGAATAAAGAAACGCCGTCTCCAAAATTAGACATATTAATTAAGTTATTTACTAAACTGCCACCATTATAGAAGAAGGAGCAACGACGAAGAATTACTGTAGAGAAGGGTGTTCTCGCGTTATATATGTTTAGTATTCAATCTGAATTTTTGGGTGATAAAATGAAAGTAGTAGATATACTTTTAGGCCATTCAACTATATGGTGTAAATCATGAAAAATATGCTTCTGTCATGAAAGTTCTTATTTTGTTAATTATTTTATTGCATGAGTAAAAGAAAATTATATATTATGGTAAGGGTCACCTCATGCGACTCCTTGCCAAGTATAAACGTGGATCACTTTCTATGTGTGCACAAAATTAGTAGTTGTACTCACTTCGCTCTTTAATATAAGTCATTTTGATATGTCCTGTGTTTTACATCGTATGTCTTTTTTACGGACAAAAAAAAGCTTTAAAATATTTCATAATAATCAAGAGAATCTTAATTTAAGGCTTATTCTTTAAATTATTTTTGATAATGTCATCAGTAGCATTGTGCACAAAATTATTCATTTTTGGAAAATACGAATTGAAATAGAAAATATAATGGTGAAGAAACCAATACCAATGGGAAGAGTTTGCTCCAACTCTGAAGAGAGGTGAGAGAGTGCTCCGGTGAGAGATGGGTTACCAGGAACTACAAATAGAGGAAGGGGAGAATATAGGAAAAATAAAAATGGAATAAAGAAACGCCGTCTCCAAAATTAGACATATTAATTAAGTTATTTACTAAACTGCCACATTATAGAAGAAGGAGCAACGACGAAGAATTACTGTAAAGACGGGTGTTCTCACTTTATATATAGTAGTAGATATATATATATATATATATATATATATATATATATAAAAGAATTCAAGAACTATAACATTGCACACGAGTGAAATAATTATTCAAAAGTAAAAAAGTTTATAATGATTGTGGGATTTAAATTCGTAAGATGAATAAAGGTACTACTTACCGCCCTTATTATAAGACATTTCTATTTGTCTTACATTTCATTCAATATCTTTTTTGAATTGAAAATAACAACTTAAAATATTTTATAATAATTAGGAGGATACAATAAATATCAAATTATATTTTTAAGTTTTTTTTTTAAATTAGAAGAATATAGTAAAAGAAATTTAAGACAACAAAATGGCTTATTAATGACAGGAAGGAGTATACGATATAACACTGGAAAAATTATTTTAGGAATTATATTGATAATTTTGTATGTATGTAAGTAACTAATGTAACTAATTTTCATGTGTCTGAAGGTAAAAAAAAAAAAGAAAAAAAAAGGCAAGTGATAAATTGAGAGTTATCTTTTTATATTGAGAACAACTCTTTTTGAAATACCGACCGACAATACCAACAATACCCACAATATTATTATTTCCAAATGCGGTAAAAAGTTTTCTTCTTCGCACCACCTCCAAATGCCGCCGCTATATCTTTTCATCCCAAGTCTTGGCTGCAAATTTGCATCGATGATTGTAGATTCAATAGGAAAAGAAAAATCCCCCAAAAAGAATAAATCAAAAAACTGAGGAAATCAATCTGATTCCAAACAAAACTAATCTGATTCATTAACCAAAGTTTTCATATTTCTCTCCCGGTCGATTCAATTGGGCTTACTTCAGGACCCTTTAATCTCCTCACTTGTATCTCTTTCATTCTTCACTGACATATCGAACTGTTTTTCTTGGTGTTAATATTCATTTTTTTTTAAATTTGTTTGTGCCAGATTTGGAAACTGCGACAGATCTGTTGTGATTTGTTGCTATTTTTTTTTTCCTTTAAAAAATTTATTTCATAATTCTTACAAATACAAGGAATAAAATTTTTAAAATAGAAGAAATTGGGAAGGGAAGAACCCAGATTAAATAAAGTGACGAGACAAATTTTCATCAATGTGGTAAAGATTGGCAAGAAGAATAAAGAAATGATAATTTAATTAGTAAAAATGTAAAAATTATGTTGAAGGATGATATCGGTATTTAAATAGAATTTGCTCTCAATATAAAAAAATTATCCTCAATTTATCAATAGTCTAAAAAAATTGAAGACTTTGTTAGTCTAAACATGATAGACTTTCTCATTTTAATCATTCAAGTTGATCTCCCTACCATTCAGTCAGTTCAATTATTCCCAAAAAAAAAAAAAAAATCAGTTCAATATTTTTACCGCCACTTTTGGGCCTACAGTTTCTTAAAAAGAAATCTCCAAAGCATAATTGTTAGTAAATTGTTAACCATGACTATATAATTCCATCTGGCTTGGTGGTATATGTGGATCGAGATTCAACACATACCCATAAAGGACAGCCATAGGAGGGATGAAAAAAAAAAAAAAATTGTAGAGAAAGAATGCGGTTGGGAGAAAATTGGCAAGAGATAAGATGATAAAGGGTTCTCAACCACATTCACATC